ACGATCACCTACAGGGACTTATAACGGGAATGACACAGCGCCCCCCTTCCACTGAACATCCGGTCCGCTTCACCAGAAGTCACCTCCTCTGACATAGAGTGCCACTGAATACACCGCTGAGCTCAAAGCAGAGGCTAAGGGGTTGGTGGAAGTAACTGGGCGGAAGTCAGTGTTTTCTCGTTTGTCTGTCACTGTTGTGCTTCAGTTCTTAAAAGGCTGAGAACTTTGCGAGGTCCTTCTCCATCTTGGCATGGTGCTCCTGGAGCCTCGCCATAGCTGGTGCTCTGCGTCCCCTCCAGCCCATCTGTGGGGCTGGTCTTTCAGCAGAGCCTCCCACGAGAGATGCTGCTGCTTCTCATTAGCTACTAAATGGTCGTTACACATCTTTCTTCGTTGCCGTTCTCTCTGCTGGAGTCTCTGGAGAACGTCCTTCAGGTTGCTCTGCACCGCATCTCCTGCACTTGGGAAGAGTGTGCTCACTTGTCTCACACATCGTATTCTTCAGATTTTCAAGAACTCGCATTTCTGGGAGACCACGTTTTTCTTCAAATTCTTTCACAAAGTAACAAGTTTCACCTTGAATAACAACTGGTCTGTGATCCAAAAGCCTTGACTGAATCTCTCCAAGATCCTTGTTAATGAGGTGCGCTGAGCTCGCGGACACCAGCGAATCCCTCTTCTTGCCACTGCGGCCTCACAACCCACAGCCCCTTGGTCGCTCCCGCTCGTCCCGACCGGCTCCGCCCAGCCGCACTCTCAGTACAAAGATTCTTAATGATGACCTCTTGAAGGTGACCACAAACACCGAAGCCAAAGAAAATACCACTGACGTGTTCAGGGAGGACAGGTACAAGGTGTATAAAGTGGCCCCAAGGAGAATAGACTGTATTACTAATTGTAGAACCCAAAATGATTACAATTAGATGAAACAAAATATGAGATCACTGGTATAAAAGGTACCTCAGTTTGAGACACATAAATTCTAATACTCAAACTAATTAAACACCTATAATCCCTGCACCTCAGGAGGCTGATGAGAGGATCCCAAATTTGAAACCAGCCTAGGCAAGACAGTTTTGTTGTGAGACAGGGTCTTGCTTTGCAGCTCAGGCTGGCCTTGAACTCACAGCAATCCTACCTCAGCCTCTCAAGTGCTGGGACTACAGGTGTGCAGCACCAAGGGCTGAAGATGAAGCTCAGTGGAAGAGCTCTTGCCTCCTACACGTGAGGTCCTGGATTTAAATGCCAGTACTGGAAAAAAAAAAGAATTAAAAATATAATTAGTAATCGCAGCATTTGGGAGGCTGAGGCAGGATTGTCTGGAGTTAAAAGCCAGACCTTGTCTCAAAAAATACAACAATCAGAGCCATTGGGAGAAAAGAGACAAACCCGGATTATGTATTTGGTATTGGTTACAGGAATAATACAACCTAATCAAGGTGATTTAAGCAGCAGGGTGAACATGGTTCTCAACAAATCCACGAGCCTGGTGAACAGCTTTATTAGGTGAGAGCTGTTGCGTGGACTTGAAGCTTCCAGATCCCACAGAACGTGTCCAACAGGCTTCACACAACCCTCAGGACGGACGGAGATGCTGCTCAAGGGTAAGAAAGCACAGCTCGGAGTTAGGCTGTCTGTCACACACTGAGGGGCAGAGCCATGAGTCAGCGCAGACGGAGACCCGCAGCTGCCCATTTGATGCACTACACCCCTCAGGGTCAGCAGCAGGTCAGCAGGACACACTCTGTTACTTTTCTTCAGGACACAGAACTCTGCTGCAAAACTGGAGACTCTTCTTAGACCATCTCTGTAGTCCTGGCCCTCCTGCTTCTCAAGGCATAAAGGCAGTAATTCATGGAAACAATCCTAGCATATGGTTGGCTATATGGTATGTAGCCAATGTGCTCAAAAATGCCTCCATTTGGGGTTGGGATTTAGCTCAGCGGTGCTGCTGCCAGCCTCATGAGTGTGAGGTCCCGAGTTCAATCCCCAATACAAAAACGAAAACAAAAAAAGGCTGTATTTGACACTCAGCCCTTAAAAATGAATATTTACATGTAACAAAAATTTTTAAGTACCTTTAATTTTAAAGTTAAAGAAAGCTGGACATGGTAGCACACAACTGTAATCCCACTGCTGCTTGGGAGGCTGAGGCAGGAAGATCACTCTGAGTCTGAGGGCAGCTTAGGTTCCACAGTGAGCTCAAGGCCAGCCTGACCTACATAGCAAGACCGTTCTCAATTCCTCCCCACCACCAAAAGTTGAAGGATGCATTATACTAGCAGAGGATGTGCTATGTGCCTCATGGGTAAGCTGCTGGGCTTCCTCAGTGACAACAGAGCAGGATGCGGTCCTGAGCACCTGCCAGGACACCTGCCCGGGTCTGTCCAGTGACTGTATCTACTGAGCAAATGGGTTGGCATGAATAGTTACGTCCTTGATGTGCACATCACTGAGAGGCCGGTACGTCTTCTCATTCACTGGGAGCTTCTCCAGCTCATCCAGTGTCTCTAACCCATCTATGACCCTGGAAAAGAAATAACATCACATGTGAAAATTCCCTCAGGTTAAACATGAGATCTGGCAGGCGTGGTGCTGCACACCTGTAATCCTGGGATCACAGCTGGGAGGCTGAGGCAGGAGGACCACCCCAGAGTTCAAGGCCAACCTGGGCTATGTGGCGAGATCCTGTTTGAAAACAAAACAAAAAACACAGTACAACAAGCAGCGGGAGGACAGGATCACGTCTTACAGTTCTTCAGATTTTCTTGTTGGATGTAAAACTAGAGAATTCAAGTTGCCTAGGCTGGGCTCCAATCTGTGATCCTCCTGCCTCAGCCTCCTGAGAGCTGGGGTTACAAGGAGGCACCACCACATTGGCTTCAAAAACTCCCTTTGTGCAGTTAGTCAACAAGAGCAATGAGGAGGAGAAACATCCTCAGCAGTGTGCCTAATGTATGTTTAGCCACATCGTCACAGGAGAGGTGCAGATGGTGACAGAGCTGGCCAGTCTATTATGACCCTCACGCCTGGGGATTGGTGGGTCTCTGACGGTTCACTGGGAAGACTGGAACCAGGGCTGCCAGGACAGCAGTCCCAGCTCCCTTCCTGCATGGAGGTGCTGCTGCCTCCTTCCCTCCTCTCAAGCTCCTTTCCCTTTGGTGCAGGGAGGTGAGAGGCAGAGGTGGAAATGTCAGTCCTCCAGGCTCAACCGCTCTAGAGCCGTGGGGCCACTGACAGCCACCCAACGAGTGCAGCCTGTGGTTTTCAGAGTTGAGCTGTGGCTGGAGGTGGGTTAGAGCAATCACAGGCTATGCCTTCCACTGTCACTCGGGAAGCTCCAAGGGTTTCAGGAGCTGTCCCAGGAATGTATGATGCAAACCAAATGTACATTTGTTATTACACCACCGTCACGCAGTTCTAGGATGTCTGTGCTATGGGAAAACGTAGAGGAAGCACTCGGGGTGGCACCATTATTGCCAGGCCTGTCCTCCACTAGGTGTGAAGCAGCGACCACTGCACTTTCTCTGTAAGCTGGTGCTCTGCTCTCCCGGCCAAGCAGTCAGGAGGCCAGGGTGCAGCTCAGAGCCGAGTACAGGCCTAGCGCGCGAGAAGCCTAGGCTTGATCCCCAGCACCACACAGAAGAAACACAAGTGGTAAGGGGAGACCGACCTGCAACAAGCCCACTTCATGTTTCCATCACGGAGAAACGTTGTGAGCTGCCGCTGAGGCACGTGCTCGGAAATTGTCTAAAACATCTGCTAGGCTTTGCTGAAATTAGCAGTTTTTCAGGTTACACTTTTTGGTGCAACTTAAATCAATTTCCAGGATTTATGTCTGTGTTAAAAATGCATGTGTCGGGGATTTAGCTCAGTGGTTTCGAGCCTGCCTGGCAAGCACAAGGTCGTGAGTTCAATCCCTGGTATCCCCCCAACCCCACAAAAAAAAAAGCACATGCAAATACACTCCATTTCAAGTTCATAAACCAAGGGTTTACTAGAGTTTGGTCCCAAGTTCAGCCAGTGAGATCCCAGTATTCACCCTAAGCAGAACTCACTTTCCAAACACGGTGTACTTCATGTCCAAATGGGGCTGTTTGCCGTAGGTGATGAAGAACTGAGAGCCATTGGTGTTTGGGCCATTGTTAGCCATAGAGACGACACCTCTGACACTGTGCTGTGAAGACAGACCAGAATGTGAATGTCACCGTTTCTCACAGTGGATTCCAAGGTGACAGGCTTTTCACCTGCCCACTACTGGAGGGCCGGAGACTCTGCCTTGGCGTCTGTCCAGATTAATCCACACTACCTGCATGTGTCAGACCACATCCTCCCATTCACTTCCCTGTCTCCAGAGAAGCTTCAGTGACGCCACTGGGTACCAGAAGCAACCCTGACAGCGAAGGGCAGTGCGCAGGCGTGAATCCCAAGGCCTGCGCTCCCTTCTCACACACTGGACTCTCCTAGCGCCTTCATCTGTGGGACAGGGAGGTGGACTGATGTGGGTCCCACTTAGGATTCACCTGGGACAGCGCCAGCAGGTGATTAGCTGGCAGCTGGACAGAGGGAGACATAGGGGTTAGGGGTCTGTGTCCCGCTCTGGGCAGTTAGCTCCTGAGGGAGGGATGCCCTGGGGATGGTCTCTCTGGGCTCTGGGATCACAACAGGGTTTATTTGCAAGGGTCTCTGGCCAGGAACTAAAGGACCTTACTGATGGGAGTTAAGACCAGGCCAAGCTGTGATGCAGGGAGGCCCAGAGGAAGGCCCACTGCAGCTCACGCTGCCAATTACCCCAGCTATAGCTGTCTCTTAGGGGGCAGCTGCATTGAAATACCAAGGCTTTATCTTCCTGAAAAGTTACTAGCAAACTAGACTAACATCTGATACATAGACAAGCATAAATGTGCCATTTGCAAGTTGATAAAATAAGTGCTGCTCCCTTATTTATTTTTTGCTTTTTGGTACTGGGGATCAAACTCTGGACCTTGTGCTTGCAAGGCAGGAGGCAGAAAGCAGAACCACTGAGCTCAATCCCTGGCCCAACCCCTATTTGAGCTTTAGAAGTCAACACTGGCCACTTCACTGCCTCAGCCTCCCCACAGGGTAACCACAGCCCCATGCCATTCCCATGCCTGTAACACGCCAGACAATGCGCTGTTTCCCAGGCGAGCCTCTGAACTCCACAAACCACACGATTTCAGTCTTCTGATACTCCACGCTTCTGGGTCTGACCCATGAGTGTACACTTGGGTGTAGTTCATGCATCTTCTCACTGTGGTCTTTCACACTGCGTGCACTAAAAAGTAGCCAGTCCATAATCACTGCACACAGAGATATTCCTAGATATTCACTGTCACACACAGCACACCAGGAACACAGGGTCACAGGCTGGGCACGTGACCAGCGTTGCTCTCTGGGAGACCCTGGCAACAGACACTGGAAACCTTGCCTCCTCTGTGGTGTGAGGCTGCTCCAGAGGACACTGGGTAAGCACCACCATCCACACCCTCTGCAGCCCTATTGCCCAGTTCCCTGATTTTTTTTTTTTTTTGGATTATAGGCATGAACTATATCATGCCTGGCCCTAATCTTTTGCAGCTTAAAAATTCCCACGGGTGATTTTTGTCACAACCTATACCTAGTTTTAACTGGTACTCTGAAACAGCCATTAATTAAGCTCTGAAAAATTGTTCAGTTTCTAATTCCAGAGAAGGCTAACTTCTCAAAAAGTTTATCCCCTCCCAAATCCAACTCCCTTAACAAAACTGATATATATCCTTATGACAATAAAGCAAAAACGAAAATATATCCAACTTTATCGAGACAATCAATTTCAGAAAATGTGTGGTTATATACGTAAAAGACAGTGAAAAAAATTTTTTTACTCCACCCCACCCTGTTCTGGGGATTCAATCCAGCAGTGCTCTACCACTGAGCTACATCCTAGCACTTTTTTATTTTGAGAAAGGCTCTAAGTCACTAAGCAGGCCAAGCTGGGGTTGAGCTTGCCATCTTCCTGCCTCAGCCTCCCAGGATGCTGAGATTATAGGTTTGTGCCACTGCGCCTGACTAAAGGGGGACCAATTACAGGCAACCCTGTGACCACGAGGTGGTCGCTCTTGACTTAACCCTGCAGCCAGGTGACACTTCAGGCTGGACTCCATGGTGATCGCAATAGGCTGAGACTCTGGCCCCTTCATCAGGGAGGCCAGGATGGCCACTGGGACCTCCCTGACTTCTCTTACTAACTGTGCAAGGACTACAGAAAAATACACTGAATAATGATGTTGGCCTGCACACTCCTGGGCTTCCAAGCGCACCGGACTCGAGAGGTGAAGTTCGGAAGCAGGGCTGTACCTTCAGGTATTCACTGTATTCATCCTCGAACTTCCTGCCCCAGATACTGTTCCCGCCTCTTCCAGTACCTACAGGACATGACAGGGAATTAGAAGTAGTGCTTTAAATTGAGAAGATTCAAATAAATCTAGTTATTTATTTGGTACTGGGGATCGAACTCAGGACCTTGTGCTTGCGAGGCAGGCGGTGGCACCACTGAGCTAAATCCCCGGTCCCCTAAGGCTCAATGTTTAACTCAAAGGCCCTTTAGAGCATACTTCTTTAAATACAAGTAACATTTGATGACATCTAGCATTTCCCCATATTCACCTTTACAGACCCCCCAGAATAAAATATTCCTACCAGCTAGAAAAGCAAGCCCAGCCTTCTCATTCCACCCCACCCCGGGCTCCCCACTGATCCTGCTCAGATCAAACAGGCAGGCAGTAACCATTCCTGCGTCAGTCTCTCTTGCTATGGCACGGCAGCCCGGTCACGAAGCCCTCACACGTGTTTCCATTCTATCTCTTCTCCACATTGTACACCCAGTGCCCTGAACTTGCAGATAGGCATACCTGTCGGATCTCCGGTCTGAACCATGAACCCCTTGATGTTTCTGTGGAATACACAACCGCTGTAGTAATTACTAGCACAGAGAGCCAGGAAGTTCTGCAAGAAGTGAAAAGGGTGACTGAGGAGGTACAGCAAACACTCCAGATCAAGAATCACACTCAAAGGCCAGGGATTTAGCTCAGGAGTTCGGTGGCCTGCCTTGCAAGCGCAAGGACCCAAGTTCAATCCCCGGTACCAAAAAAAAGAATCACACTCAGTGGCACCATACCTGCCTCATAAACTCAAGGTCATGAGTTTGATCCCCATTAAAAAAAAAAAAATCTGTAAAAAGAATCATGCATGTGCTGGGTATAGTGGCACATGCCCTATAATCCCAGTACTCAGGGGGCTGAGGCAGGACAATCACTGAGAATTCAATGTTCAAGGCCAGTCTGAACTATGTAGGAGACCCTGTCTCAAATAAACAAAATGAAGTCAGGCATGGTGGTGCATCCCTGTAATCCCAGCCCTTGGGAGGCTGAGGCAGGAGGATCACTGTGAGTTCGAGACCAGGCTGGGCTACATAGTGAGTTCTACGTCAGTCACAATTACATAGTGAGACCCTGTCTCAAATAAACAAAATGAAGTCAGGCATGGTGGTGCATCCCTGTAATCCCAGCCCTTGGGAGGCTGAGGCAGGAGGATCACTGTGAGTTCGAGACCAGGCTGGGCTACATAGTGAGTTCTACGTCAGTCACAATTACATAGTGAGACCCTGTCTCAAAAAAACAAAACAACAACAACAACAACAAAAACCAAAAAAAACCTCCAAAATCAAACAAACAAAACAAAACCAATCACACTTACTGGAAACACTGAAGAACATGTTCAACCCTAGCTTTCAGGCTTTTGAGACAGAATCTTGCTACATAGTTCAGGCCTGCTGGACTCAAATTTGTTGCGCTCTTCTTGCCTCAGCCTCCCCAGTGCTGGGATTATAGACATGTGCTACCACACCTGACTCTAGGCATTATTTTTGAATAGTATCAACTTCCCAGCCTAGAACTTTTTTTTCCTTTTTTTTTGGTACTGGGGATGGAACTAGGACCCTTGTACTCGCAAGGCAGGTGATGGAACCACTGGGCTGAATCCTCAGCCTTTCCAGCCTAGGACTTTGATAGCTTCTGTCTACTATGGAATTAAACACACCATCTTTGGCAGGGCCTAGGAATCCTCACATGGCCCTGTTGCACACTTTGTAGCTCTTTGAGCACACTGACAATCACCCGCCATTTCTACACCTGGAACCCAGGACCTTGTGCATGTGAAGCCAGCACTTTACCAATAAGTCCCCGGAACACTCATTTTGTATCTTTTTAAAGGGAGTTGTCTTCATACCTTCAATAGTCAAATAGTCAGTTTATGTCTTTCTCTTTCACCTTTTTTTTTTTTTAAATATTACTCGGCATTGAACCCAGGGCCTTCACAGAGATTCACCCCCAGCCTTATTTTTAAGTTTTATTTTAAAACGGGGTCTCATGAAGTTGGCCAGGCTTGGCCCAAACTTGCAATCCTCCTGCCTCAGCCTCCCACAGGTATGCCACCACACCCAGCCTATTAGGTCAGGGTAACTTTCTTGGTTAAATCTGTTTTCGCCTTCTTCTAAGTAGCTCTTCTCATTGTTCTTTAAATGCTTTATTTCAAGTCATTATCACTTCTCAGAATATTTAACTTTCCCAGCAAGAATGTAAGCTGTATGAAGACTAGGAATGTCTCTGGCTCACACTGTTTGAAACCTTAACAAGAGAGCTTTTCATTAACTGCTGAATGGGTGACTACACAGAACTTACTCTTCTTCCTCCTATGCTTGTCATTTCAACACATGAAATGACGACAGTGGTTTTCCTTTCGTGGCTGTGTCTAGATGTCTCCTCAAAGCCTTACACGGTCATCCGTGAGGCTTTTTCAGAGGTGGTTGGATCTAGAGTGTGTGATGCTGGAAATGATTCGTGGTTCAATGCTAGGATCAAAGGCACTAGAATTAAGGGTGTGAGTGCTACCTGCCTTAAGTAGCCTGGATAAGATATTAGGGATAGAAAGAGTTGTGGTTGTCCCTTGGTGCTTTGCTACTCTTTGCCTGCCATGAACTGTTTCTCCTCTGAGATGCCTATCTGCCATGCTAGCCTGGCTTGGGGATGCTGATTATGGACTGAAACCTCTAAAAACTGTAAGCTAAATAAATCTTCCTTCCCTTAACTTTGGGTATTGGGTATTTTGTCTCAGCAGCAAGAAAAGTAACTAAACTATCTCCTTTTTTTTTTTTTTTTTTAGTACTGGGGATCGAACTCGGGACCTTGCGCTTGTTAGGCAGACAATGACACTACTGAGCTAAATCCTTGGCTAAGTCTGAAATTATAGTGGTCAGCTCTTCCTGACCAAGGTTTCATGGAAAGTGTTGTTTTTTAGGCTGGAGATTTTCACTTCAAAATGGTCGTCCTGCTGCATTAACTGACATGAGTAATGGTACTCACCTCACATGTCTTGGGTGTCCGCTCACAAAAGACTTCTATTTTAATATCACCTACATCTGTGTGCAATGTCACAGACTAAAGGAGAGAGAAGGCAACAAATGTAATTTTTCCAGGTGACTACAGGTACCATTAGTTCTCTGACTGAATATATGATGATCAGAAGACAAAAATGCTGCTTTAGAAATAATCCATTCAACAGAGCCGCTGAAACTTCTCCCAAATTTATTTCAACAGGAAAAAACTCCAGAAGATAAATATAAATGTTTGGATGAAGTACTATCTCTAGCCGGGCGTGGTGGCAAACGCCTGTAATCCCAGCACTCAGGAGATTGAGGCGGGAGGATTGAGACCAGCCTGGGCTACACAGTGAGTTCCAGGGCAGTCTCAACTACATAGTGAGGCCCTGTTTTAAAAAAAAAAAAAAAAAAAAAAGGTACCATCTCTACTACACTTGATCTTAGCCAAAAGGCCGAGAAGCGATTACCATCTCTACTAAAATGTGTTTGTTTTTGTTTTATTTTATTATTTTTGGGGGGTGGGTTTGAGACAGGCTCTTACTATGTAGTTGAGACTGACCTGGAACTCACATATAGCCCAGGCTGGTCTCAAACTAATAGCTATCTTCCTGCCTCAGTCTCTGGAGTGCTAGCATTACAGGCATGTACCACCATGCCCAGCTTTGTTTTTTGTTTTATTGAGACAGGGTTTCACTATGTAGTTGAGACTGAACTGGAACTCACTATGTAGCCCAGGTTGGTCTTGAACTCACAGTGATCCTCCTGCCTCAGCCTCCTGAGTGCTAGGATTACAGGCGTGCGCCATCATGACCAGCGAAAGGCAATTTTTTGTTTTTTTTTTTGGAGATCTGGTCCCACCATGTAGTTTAGGCTGGCCTTGAACTTGCTCTGTAATACAGGCTGGTCTCAAATTTGTGGCAATCCTCCTGTCTCCCAAGTGCTGGGATTACAGGTGTGAGCTACCAAACCCAGCTATACTGTATGCTTTAATATTATATAATGTATTTAGCTTGTCACTGAAATTCCCACAGAGTTTTATTTTCCATGACTGAATTTCTTTAAATCGCAGAATTTTATAAAACTTACCATCTTTTCTTCTCGGTTTCAGGAAAAGTACTTAATTTCTCAGTCTTACAGAGAAAAGCTTGAAAGTTTCTGTTCATAAAAGTAAAGAGAATTAGTTCACTTTCTTCTATCTTCTTTTACACACAAACACTTGTCTTTATAGCATAGTGAAAAGCAGTATCCTGCAAATAATGAGAACCTAGCTATGGACCACATGCAGCACGATACTGGCGACCCCAGCTCAGCCACTCTCCAGCTGAGTCCACTTGAGTTCTTACCTCCAAGAAAGCCTAAGCTCGGAGACTCTCTGATATAGGAGAAATATAACCCCAACCTGCTAGGCGTCAGATACAACGCATAAACAGAAATTCAAAGCCACAATGGAAGATAGGAGTAGGAACAATTTATTGAGACATGGGACCTGAGACAGGAGGGGATACCAACATGGGTTGCCACTGAGGCCATTTCTCTAAGAAAGTTAATCACTACATGAGAACAATGTGGGTCACACTATAATGAATCATTAAGATTACAAGTATAGGGCCGGGGATTTAGCTCAATGGTTCTGCTGCCTGCCTCGCAAGCACAAGGACCCGGGTCATCCAGGTACCAAAAAAAAAAAAAAAAAAAAAATTACAAGTATAGCCGCTGAGCTAATATTGGTCCAATAGGGAAGCAGGTCAGGTAGGAACAAGGGCATTTTGGTAAGGGATGGGTCCTGAAGCTCTGCTCACCCGCCTGGACTTACCAGGTGATACCAATTACAGTGTAATCTCAAGTTACTGCTTAAGTCTCCGGGTCGTAATCTGTGAAGCCAGCCACACAAGCTTCATGTATCGCATGGTTTCTCTTATACCGGTGGTGAAAGCAGCTGCATTTAATGACGGTCACGAACCCCAAAACGGCCGAGGGAGAGAGAAAAGGGCCCAAAAGAGAAAGGACAGGCCACACCATGCCTTAATCTGGGTTGCACAAGACCGCCCTTGGGCGCGCGCGGGCTCCTCGGCCCCAGGCTTCGCGACGACCCGATAGGAGAGCCAGGCCGGCAGGCGAGGCCGAGCGGACTCACGCGAAGGTTAATGAGCCTCCCCCGCGGGACTCCCGCGCCCACACGGCCGCGCCGCCCGCCAGCTTGCGCTCCGGAACACCGAAGTCGAGCGTGGCACCCTTTCCAGAGAAGCCCTTCTCTCTCACTGCCTCAGCCCACACGCACCAGAACCAGCAAGGGACACAGAGGAATCTGACAACAGCGGCCACCTGGGACCTGACAGGAAACCAGACCTGTGCTAATGATTACTGCCCGACAAGAAGCGCCCGGAAATCCCTACGCAACGTTCCGGACTCGGAGGTAAGAAGGACCGGACCACTTCCGCTTCCGCTCAGGCAGACTGCTCACCCAGAGAGGGCCACTTCCGCTCAGCCCCTCCCCCACTCCCCTGGACCCGGGAGCGCGGGCCGGGCCGGAAGTGTAGCGTACAGACGGCTTCCGGCCTGGTGAGCAGCGTGCTCTCGGAGGCGCTGGCGGTACGTGTGTTCCTCGCCTCGGGCGCGGTCACTGGTGCTGCGGAGGAGGCACGGGCGGGCAGGGGACTGTGGCCGCACAGCGGGCCAGAGCCCTGCGGAGGACGCGGGCTGGGCCGCTGACCTCCCGAGACCTGCATCCTGTCAAGCCACTTCGCCTCAGTCGTGGGTTAAGCATCCGCCGCTTCTTAGGCTCATTTTGCAATAGAAAATTTGAAAAAAAAAGTTTGCTTTTGAAATCGTTGGGTTATATAGGGCTGGGGATGTAACTCAGGGCATGCGCAAGGGCCTGAGTTTGATTCCCGGTACTGGCAAAAGGAAATAAAAATGTTTAGGTTATAGATATTTTATTAATAGTCGACTGTATGGTTTATTTATTCTTGAGCCAGGTCTCAGTGTACAGCCCAGGCTGCCCTTCAACTCTGGCCTCCTGCCTCAGCCTTCAGTGCTGGGATTACAGGCGTGGGCCACGCCTGGATGCTTTCTTAATAATTGTGCATACAATTAGATGCTTTTCTTCAAAAACAAAAATGTTTATGGATAGCGAGTGCGAGGTTAAAATGGTGACAGAAGTCCAGAGACAAGCCGGTTTGGGGGGTTTTCTGAGAGGGACTCTTAGTTTTTTGCCCAGGGTTTTTTGTTTGTTTGTTTTGTTTTTTGAGACAGGGTCTCACTATGTAGTTGAGACTGACCTGGAACTCACTATGTAGTCCCTGCTGGTCTCGAATTTACAGCGATCTTCCTGCCTCAGCCTCCGGGGTGCTGGGATTACAGGCGTGCGCCTCCACGCTCGGCTATTGTGCAGGGTTTTCATGGAGCTGGGCAAGCGGAGAAGGGAGGAAGAGCAGGGGGCGGCTCAGCGGCCGGCAGCGAATTTCCCACTGTTCTTCGCTCAGTGTCAACAGGGGTTGGGGGCCTTGTTTTTCTCCAAACTGAGACTGCGCCTGCCACAAAGTTTAAAAATAGGGTTGATATCATCTGTTCTAGTGATTTAACTTGACCAATTTTGGAATATTACTATTTTTTTTTTTTTTAAGTTTTGAGACTAGGTCTCAGTATGTAGTTCAGTCCGCCCTTGAATGCCAAGCCATCCTCTTGCTTGAGCCTCGCAAGCTCTGGGATCATAGGTGTGCCCTGGCAGTACACCCGGCTCTGTCGTGTTCAGATTTTAGAAGCAGGGTTTTCTCGCTCCGCATTGATGTCCTCCCTCCTTCTTTCTCTCCCTGCCCTGCTCTCTCGCCCTGTTGCTCTCGCGCTGTGCTTTGCCGGCCTTGCGTTTGTTTCCCTGTCGTTTGCAGGGGTCCAGAAGGCTTGCAGAGCATCCGCAGAGCGCCCTCCACCAGAGCTCCTGGGCCTGGCCCTTGTGGGTGCGGTAGGCCCGCTGTGACTTCACCCACTGCCTGCCCTGTGCTGGGCCTCCTTTCTGCGGACAGCCCTCCTCTTCGGTGCCCATCCGTGCCACCAGCCGGGAGTTCCGCTGAGCAGAGTCAGCCTGCAGCGAGCCCTTGGTGCTGGCAGCGCAGGGACCACGAGGCAAAGATCGCTCCCTTTCCCGGAGCTTCAGCGTATTAAGGAAACACGAACAGGATTGTCACAGTATGAGAGTGTTAGGTTGAGGGGTTGGGGATCGGCACCGAAAAGGTTTGTCAACAAAAGTTTTCTTTAGGGCCAGATGTGGTGATGCACACCTATCACCCTGGCTGAGCCAGGAGGATCGTGAGTTCAAGCTCAGCCTGGATGAGAACAAGAAAGGGCCGGGCCGTAGCTCAGCAGGAAGGCGCTGGGTTGCATCCCCAGTACCACAAAACGGAAGGAGGAGAGTGGGAGTCGGAGGGCTCCTGAGAGGGAGGGATGGCGAAGTGGCGGAGAGGAGGGTGGACGTTCCTGCGTCGGGGACCAGAGCCTGCCGTGCCCCCGCGTGTGCAGGAGGGCGCGGCTCACCGGAGTGTGGCCCTGCGGAGGCCCCGGCTGCAGCCCCACGAGTCCCCTTCCTGTGTTTGGCCCCAGGTACTCGCTGGAGCCTGGTGCCTGCATGCTGGCGTCTCCTGGGCGCCTGGTGCCCGCAGCAGTCCGGCTCGCCTGTTCCAGGGCCCGCTCCTCCTCCGGCATGGATCTGAAGGCTGTCGTCTCTTCTCTCAACGACTTCGCGCCCCTCTCCTTCGCAGAGAGCTGGGACAATGTGGGGCTCCTGGTGGAGCCGAGCCCCCCGCACACCGTGCACACGCTCTTCCTGACCAACGACCTCACGGAGGCGGTGCTGGAGGAGGCCCTGCGCGAGAAGGCGGACCTGGTCCTTTCCTACCACCCGCCTATCTTCCAGCCCCTCGCGCGCGTCACCTGGGGGACCTGGAAGGAGCGCCTGGTGGTCCGCGCGCTGGAGGCCAGAGTTGCCATCTACTCCCCGCACACGGCCCTGGATGCCGCGCCCCAGGGCGTCAACACCTGGCTGGCCAGGGGTCTCGGTGAGGCTTTGGTGTCTTTGCAGTGAGTTTTAACAGTTTTCAGGCTGAGAGTGTTACTCTGTTTTTGTATATTGAAAAATAATGTTGAAACTTGGCAAGTAGCTCCCATTTGGAAGAGAAAACATTCTTGCTAATGCGTGAAGAGGACACAAGTCTGCAGAGCTGGACCAGCTTCTGGGAACCCTCACTCGTGTGGCACAGTGCCCGGTGCTAGGTGCTGGAGATGCTTGAGCTCAGGGCTCAGCACACCCAGCTGATTAAATCGACATCGGGCTTTATCGAATGCTTCCTGTGCCCAGCAGTGAGGAGCTCTCAGTCCAGGCTCATCGTGAGCCAGGGCCTTGATGATGTAGTGATCTTGTGATGCGATCCGATTGTGTGCGTTCGTGTCTTGTTTTGTTTTGTTTTGTTTTGTTGAGACATGGTCTTGCTGTGTAGCCCAGACTGGCCTCAAACTTGTGGTACCCTCCTGCCTCAGCCTGTGGAGTACTGGGATTACACGTGTGTGCAGCCGTGCCAGGCTGAGCATTTAGATCTTGAACCATAGTTTATATGGGTAATTTAATAAGCAGTAGACAATTCCATATGTCATCCAAAACGACATTTTAATTTTCTGAAAAATAATTCTGAAAATGAATTTCATTTCTTTAAATATTTAGGATAATTTATTTTTTTCTTATGAATTCAGTTTTGTTTATACCAAATCCCTATGTTATGGAAACTGGTGATGTTTATGTGAAAGGTATGTATGTGTATCTGTATTATATCAAAAGTGAAGCCAGGTGTGATGGCTCACACCTGTAATCCCAGCATTCGGAAGGCTGAGGCTGGAGGATCACTGAGTTCGAGACCAGCCTGGGCTACATAGTGAGTTCCAGGGCAGTCTCAACTACATAGTGAGACCCTATCTCAAAAAAAACAACAAAAAAGTGAAAATCATTTTTTTAAAAAGCATTTTTAAAAAAATGATTATTTCTGCTGGGCGTGGTGGCGTTCACCTGTAATCCCAGCATGCAGGAGGCTGAGGCAGGAGAATTGCTGTGAGTTAGAGGCCAGACTGAACTACATAGCAAAACCCTATCTCACAAAAATCCCCCAAAAAAGTGCTTATTTAAATTTTGCCTATTAATAGTTTTTTACTTTTACACCTTAAAACAAAAATCCCAGAAAACTTTGATTTTCTCACAATTTTCTCCTAGGCATTTGTACCTCCAGGCCCATCCGTCTCTCCAGAGCCCCCAGCCACCCCAAAGAGGGGACCCACCGAGTCGAATTCAGTGTCAGACACTCCCAGGACCTGGACACAGTCCTGTGTGCTATAAAAGCGATCGGCGATGCTGATGTCACTAGTTTTTCTGCTAGGTATCTTTCTTTTTTGAATGTGTATTTATTTAGAATCGTGACCCTAGTACTGCTTGGGTGTAAAAGAAATCACTTCCCCTGGGTTTGGGTTCCAAGAACTGTATGGAGCAGGAGGACCGTGGGGTCCTCTACAGTGACGCAGCTCTGGGGTGCACACCGAGCATCTCCCTGTGGGAGACACGGCGCTGGCACTGACGGCCTCTCCTGCCCCCGGTGATGTTCACAGTGGTTGTTTACCTCCCAGAGTGCAGACCTAGTGACGCAGTGCTAACTGAGGCTAACGGATCGGTTCCCAGGAAATCAGTGACTTCCAAGGACTTTGAAGGGAAACACATTTAACTGTCTCTTCCAAGGTCAATCCTTTAGGGCAGTCGTAGATTTTCTTTTAGTCTGCTGTACCCTCATACCTGTGGCACTCCGAAAGGACATGTGAGGAAGGGCTTAGTGTTAAAGGCCTCACCTAGCATGTCTGAGGCCCTGGATTTGACCCTCAGAGAGAAAAAAGAAAAAGAGAAAATGTACAAAGCTATGTTTGTTTGTTTGAGACAGGGTCTCACTCTGTAGTTGACACTGACCTTGACCTCACTGTGTAGTCCAGGCTGGTTTCAAACTCACAGTGATCCCCCTGCCTCAGCCTCCTGAGTACTGGGATTATAGGCTTGGGCTACAACGCACGGCACCTGACTTTTAAATATAAGTTTTTTTTTTTTTTTTGTACTGTGGATTGAACTCAGGTCCATGTGCTTGTGAGGCAGGCAGTGGAACCACTGAGCTAAATCCCCAGCCCTTAAATATAAATTCTGTACTGTAAAATCATGGGCATATATGTTGGGAAGTTTGGGGAAATTTCAGGAGCCTCAAGTCATGGGGTTTTCAGTAGATTTTAGTTGTTGACGTCTTCTATACTGAATAGATGTTGAAATTAAAAAAACAAATTAATGGGCCAGGGATTTAGCTCAGTGGTTCTGCCACCTGCCTCACAAGCACAAAGTCCTGAGTTTGATCCCTGGTACCAAAAAAAAATTAATGATGAAAATCAAACATGAAAAAATTCAAACCATACAAAAGTCTTCCTTGTTTTTCTACTCTGCCCCTAGTATGTTCAAGTTGTCTTGTTTACAGAGAAGTAGGAACCTCTCTAGATGCACATGGGGCATTAAAAAAGTCTCCTGCATGCTGATTTCTTTTTATCTTTTTTTTTTTTTTGGTACTGGGGATTCAGCTTGGGAACTTGTGCTTACCAGGCAGGCGGCAGAACCACTGAGCTAAATCCCTGCCCCCTTTTTATCTTCAGGGATAGGGTCTTGCTATGTAGTTCTGCCAGGCTACAAATTCAGTTTGACCCTCCTGCATCAGCCTCCTGAGTGGTGGGATTACAGATGCATGCCACCATATGGGGCTTTTTTGTTTTGTTCTTTTTTTTTTTTTTTTTGTACCAGGGATCGAACTCGGGTCCTTGAGCTTGCAAGGCAGCAGAACCACTGAGCTAAATCCCCAGCCCCTGTTTTGTTCTATTTTTTGACTTTTTGTTGTTGTTGTTGTTGTTTTTTGAGACAGGGTCTCACTATGTAGTTGAGTCTGACCTGCAGCTCACTATGTAGCCCAGGCTGGTCTCGAACTCACAGAGATCCTCCTGCCTCAGCCTCCTGAGTGCTGGGATTACAGGCGTGCATTACCACGCCGGGCTTATTTTTTGAAATAGTGTTGTTACATAGCACGGTCTGTTCTCAAATTCAAAGTTCCTCCTGCCTCAGCTTCCAGAGTGCTGGGTTGTGGGTATGTACTGTCAGGCCTGTTCTATTTGCCTTTCTCATTAATGGGATGTTTTAGAGATCTTTCCATCTAAGTACATACGAATTCATTGTTTTTAAGTGCTGTGTAGTCTTTCCTTTGATGATATGCTAAAGTTTTTTTTTTTTTTCCGACTTTGCAGTTTAGGGTGGCCTCCAACTCAGGGTCATCCTCCTGCCTCAGCCTTCTGAGTGCTGGTGCTACAGGCATGCATCACCATGCCCAGCTTATAGATTTAAGCATTTCTTTTCCTGCTGACTTGGACCCAGGGACATGGGGACATTCCAGGTGGAAACCAGAGCGCCTGGGTGACAACTTTCCTGCTGCCTGTTTTTCTGGAAAGGCTTTAGGGCACTGCTTCTTAGAGGGTGGATTCAAAGAACCCCCTGTACCACTGGTAATGGGAAATATTAGAAATGCAGAGTTTCGTCCTGATTAGCATGGGACATGAGTGATAATTCTTGTATTCAGTGCTGTTTGAAAATTACCCTGGGGCGCAAGGGCCCAAGTTTGATCCCTGGTACCCCCCAAAAAAGAAAAAAGAAAATTACCGCAGGGTTTGAGCTCCAGCACCAAAAATGAAGAAAGTAACATTGTCTAGGGCTGTTAAAAATTAAAGTTCTCAGGGCCAGGGATTTAGCTCAGTGGTTCCAGCACCTGGCTCACAAGCTCAAGGTCCTGAGTTCAATCCCCATTACCCCCCCCAAAATAAAAGAAAAAAGAATCTTTTTGGTTTATGTTATGTCTTGTACTCAAAGTTATGAAGTTTTATTTGTTTGTTTGTTGAATTAAAAATTTGCATGTGGAGCTTGGCACAGTGGTACATGCCTGCAATACCAGCGCTGTGGGAGACTGAAGTGTGAGGGTCACAAGTTCAAGTCCAGTCCAGGAAACTAGCGTGACACTGTCTCAGAAAGTTAAAGAAAAAAGGGCTGGGGTACCCATGTAGCTTACCACGAAGACCCAGGATTCCATCCCCAGCACTAATACTCAGAAGGTACCAAAAGGGAGGCATTGCAGACAACGCCTTACTACCACAGGAAAAAATGCACTGGGCGTGGTGGTACATACCTGTAGTCCCTGCTACTTGGGAGGCTGAGGCAGGAAAATCTCAAGCTTGAGGCCAGCCTGTGCAACTTAGGAAGATCTTGCCTCAGGGATTTTAAAAGGGGTCTGGGGACGTAGTTCTGCCCTTCCTAGGTCCTCCCCTCCCTCACAGTTACCCTGGGCCCAGCCCACTCGCAGGTGCTCTGATGCTGGCTCTGATGTGTGCCGGGACAGAGAGGTCCAGGCGCACGTGTGGCCCAAGCCTCAGCGTGGCCTGGCCCAGACCCTTGGTCTCACGGCAGAGTTGTACGGGGAGGAGCAGAGTACAGCTGCGGTGTGTCCCAGCCAGGATCTTGTTGCAGGACGGGTGATGGCGAGGAGCGGACGCGGCTCAGTGTGACCTGCACTCAGGAGGCCTTGACTCGGGTGGTGGCGTGGCTGTCCCAGAACAGGCAGCTGCGTGAGCAGACCGAGGTTCTGGCCCTGGAGAAGGTAAGATGGTTGTTCTAGAGCTGCTCAGGCCTGCAGTGTGTTCATCAGCGCCAGAGGCCCACGGACTCCAGTGCACAGCTGGATGAGCTGTTACGGTGCAGGTTTTGTGTGTGAACAGTTGTGTCGGGTGGGCCGGGGCGCAGCTCGTGTGTGGCCCTGGGCTCCATCCCTTCTCTGCGGTGTATCTTGAAAGGCACTGAGGGAGGGAGGTGGAGCAGGGACTGGAAGACATCGGGATCTCTTCCAGCTTGTGGAACAGGAAAAATGTTGGGATTCCTTCCAGGTTTTTTGTTGTTGTTGTTCGGTTGGTTTTTTGGTGGGTATCTGGGATCAAATTTAGGACCTTGGGCTTGCGAGGCAGGCGGCTGAACCGCTGAGCTAAACGTCCAGCCCAAGGGTCACACGGGTTTGATCTCTTACCTGTCTGGCCTGATAGGTATGTGTATGATGATGACTCCCATCTTTTCTTACAGCTTAGAATGCCTCTTTAGGTGAAAAATACAGTAAAAAAATGCCTATTTCCAACTACTTTATAGACCTTTTCCGCTTAGAGATCTCACGCATATTTCGAATTCATTGTACACAAGTGACAACCGTATTTCTGCCCCAGCCCCGGACGCCTTTCTTTTTCTCAGTTTCTTTGGTGTTTTCAGGGGTCCTGTGAAGCCCAGCTCTGCCTGTCTCCCTCTCTAGCACGCTTGTCCTCTCTGCCTGAGCTCTGCCCGCCGTAGCTGGGGTCTCCGTGCCTCCAGAGTGGGCGGCCGAGGCCCTGCGCAGCCTGTCCCCCATCAGCTTCCCCGTGCTGCCCACCTGCTCCCTGCGGACTCACCTCAGCTCACCCCTGCCCAGCCCTTCTGGTTCCTCCCCGGACTCGGTTCCTTTCCTGTTTCCCGTAAGGATGCTGAGCCACCTGCAGGTGGTTCGGTCCATCGTCCGTCACCTCGGTCGGGCCGCTCGCCCAGCCGGCCCAGCGCTTGTGTGTCAGGACTGGTGAGGGGGGAACAGTGTTGCGTCTTGTTTGTCTTCAGCCTCTGCTGCTGCAGACCGGCATGGGGCGGCTGTGCACACTGCAGGAGTCTGCGTCCCTGGCCACCGTGGTTGAGCGGGTGAAGAGTCACTTGAAACTGTCCCACGTCCGCCTGGCGCTCGGAGCAGGAAGGACCCTGGGTGAGTGTCTCCCCGTCCCCGCAACACAGATCCACCCTGGGCTCGGGCTCCGGCTTGGCCCTGCCGGGCAGCTGGGTCACTGCTGTGGAGGAGGACGCCTCAGTGCACGGTGCCCGAGTGGGCCAGGGTCCTGGTGGCCGCGATGCTCTGAGAGGTAGGAGGGGTTCAGAGCCAGGTGCTGCTGAGCTCTGGCCCACTGAGGGCCACAGCAACTGCTCTTTCCCCAGGCTTCCCAGGAGCGCCTGCTGCTAAAGCCAGAGCGCCCGGGAGTTGCCCTGTCAGTGTGTGTGAGGTGGCCCGCTGCCTGGCCGTGCTGGGGCCGGGGCCTCCTCTGCTGCTCTGCTTTGTGTTTTTGAGACAGGTTCTCTCAGTGGCGCTCAGGTTGGCAGTTCTCCTGCCTCGGCCTCCCAAGTGCTGGGACTCCAGGCCTGCGCTGCCTCACCCCCTGCACCTCACCGAGTCGGGGTAGTGTGTGCGCAGATCCCGACCCTGCGAGGACACTGCTGGCTCTGGCCTGCAAGTTTGTTCCTCGGCACATCCAGCTGCAGCCCTGCCATCGCGGTGGCGTCCCTGTCACCACTTGCTGTGGTGGACCGGCAGGGCCTCCTGGCCTCACGCAAGGCAGGCGAGCTGCTTGTCTGCAGAGAGCTGTTCCTTAGAATTCCGTCAGCGCAGTCCGCAGCTTGGGGTGCGGCAGGCCTGGAGGGCTCCTCTTCGCCCTGTGAGCTGAGCCAGGGCGCTTCAGCAAATACCAAACACTGTCTCCCCTCCTTTCCCTCTCTTACAGACTCCCGAATCCAGGACGTAGCCCTGTGTGCCGGCTCGGGGAGCAGCGTTCTGCACGGGGTGCAGGCTGACCTCTACCTCACAGGTGGGAACTGCTCAGCCTGGGCTCACCCCTGTTAGGACGGCGTTGGGGACACACAGATAGCTAAGGACCTGTCTGAGCCAGGATTACACAGGCAGACACGAAAGAATTGGGGATGTACTGCAGTCTTCGTAGTGCGAGGAAATCATTTCACAATTCAGCATTATCAGGATCATCTCAAAAGTTGATGTTCAGGATGGTAATCCCAGCTACTTGGAAGGCTGAGGCAGGAGGATCGAAAGTTCGAGGCTAACCTGGGCAACTTAGCCATTCTATCAAAATAAAAAGATAAAAGGCCTGAGGATGTAGCTCATTGTGAAAGCTCTCGTTCAGTTTGCAGGGTAGGCAGATACATAGATTGATGAATTTGATGTCCTGCTGACCTGAGTCAGTGCTGCCCCAGCTCCCCCATGAGTCCTGCGTGGTCCGCGTCCTGAGCTGGTGCAGTTGAGGTGGAGCCCTGTGCACTCCCTGCCTCAAAAACTAAAAACTAAGCAAATCTCCTTATCTTTTATGTGTGTATGTTTTCATTTACTTGAGGCTGATTAGTTCCAGCTGGCTTCAAACTTGCAGTGGTCTCACTGCGTAGCCCAAGATGTCTTTTAACTCATGGTGATCCTCCTGCCTCAGCCTCCCAAGTGCTGGGATCATAAGTGTGTGCTCAGGTTGCCAAGAGGAAGTGAGGAACCTTGGTGGGCTGGCTTTGCGGTTGCAGGGTGTGTAAGCAGACTGGACCAGTCCTTTTAGAGAAGTGGTTCTGCTGTTCCCTTTGCTTCCCACACGGCACAAGCTCGTGCTTCTGCGGCTGCTGTCTGATCATGAATGATGGTGAAGCACATGTCTCCCCCCGCAGGTGAAATGTCCCATCACAACGTTTTGGATGCCACTTCCCGAGGAATCAGTGTCATCCTGTGTGAACACAGCCACACGGAGCGGGGCTTTCTCTCTGACCTGCGGGACCTGCTGGGTGTGCGCCTGGAGAGCAGGGTGCGGGTGGTCCTGTCAGAGCACGACCGCGACCCTCTGTGTGTGGTGTAGCACAGTGGCAGCCGCAAGCCGGAGTGGCCCCCAGAGAACAGGCGGCAAGAGGGCACAGGGTGTGCTGAGCAAGGCTCGGCAGAAGACCACGGAGGCCTGCAGACCCTGGCTGCTCTCCCGGCTCCAGCACAGGCCAGCCCCGTGCCTGCACCTGCACGGACCCCACCTCTCCGCTCCAAATAAACACCAGGCCTTTTGCTGGGGTCTTTTCCTCTCCATCAGGAGTTCAGAGCCCCGAGTCCCCACCCGCACCTTAGTAATCTCCGTGTCTTCATCTCTCACTGGCGTTCCTCACCCTGTGAGCCCTTCAACCATGCAGGCCCCCATGATACATGCACAGTACCCAGCACGGTGGCCGGGCTGGGCAGAGCGCCTGCCGTCCTTCCTGGTCTTGATTGGTTCACTGAGGGTACTGAGCGCGGGAGGCCAACACCATACCAGAACTGAACTGCCTGTTATAGATCACAGATCTCTCATAAACTGACATCTGGTTACTTACTGTCCTTGGGAAGTAGCTCAAAGAATTTCTTAAATTATAAGATGAATTAATCTAAGAATTTCTGCTATTGATTAGTTTAAATATACACTTCACAAGGTTGCAAGTTTGAGCCTGCATTGGGCTACTTAGTTGAGTCCGTGTTCTGATTGTATCTCAGATATAGCCAGGCGTGGTGGTGCATGCCTATAATCCCAGCACTTGGGAAGCTGAGGTCACTGTGAGGATCACTGAGTTCGAGGTCAGCCTGAGCTATATAGCGAGACCCTGCTTCACACCAAAAAAAGAAAAAGAAAAACAAACTAAACAGTTTTAAGAAGATTGCCCAAGGCCCATCACTAGGAAATGGTGGATTGAGTGACAAAGTTGGTCAGTGTGCTGAACCGTTTCTTTTTTTTTTTTTTTGGTTTTTTGAGACAGGGTCTCACTATGTAATTGAGGCTGACCTGGAACTCACTATGTAGCCCCAGCTGGTCTTGACCTCACAGCGATCCTCCTGCCTCAGCCTCTGGAGTGCTGGGATTACAGGCGTGCGCCACCACGCCCAGCTAAACCGTTTCTTAAATGCCTTCACAGTGAACCTGGTATAAGCAGTATGGGAACAATCCACTTTTATTCCTTTTTGCTTATTTAGGATTTGTTTTTCTTTTGGTACTGGGGACCATGTGCTTGTGAGGCAGGTGGCAGAACCACTGAGCTAAGCTATTGATGGTTTTTGAGTGTTTTCTGAGACAAGTCTCAGTGTGGAGCCCAGGCTGGCCCTGACCTCACAGCGATCCTCCTGTTCGCCTTCCCCAGTTCTGGGATTACAGGCGTGCGCCGCCGTGCCCAGCTAGCACTCCATTTTTTTTGAAGCTAAACACTTATTGGTACATTGTAGATACACAGAATGATAGCACTTCTAAGGAATTTGTAGCTGTACAGTGTGTATTTTTCCCTATTCCCTTTCATCCCTCTTCCCCTTTTATAAAAGCCTGGTTTCCATTTCGGCTTTTTCTTGTCCCCTTCCTCCTCCTCCCTCAGTTGTTCCCCTTCCCATTTCCCGATATCTATTATACGTTTAAAAAAATTGTGTATTGGTACATTTTAGATCTATATCCATTACACATTTTAATCCTTGTTTCCACGCTTGGCTTCTCACACCAGAGAAATGATGCAGTATTTACACGTGCGTCCCGTTTATCTCGCTTAAGAGTTTGGTCTTAAGGTGCATCCATTTAGAAATGTTTCGAGCTTATCCTTTATGGCCAAGTAGTGCTCCAATGTATAAAAAAACCCACTTTTGTTGTTGTTGTTGTTGGTACCGAGGATCGAACTCGGGTACCTGCACTTGCGAAGCAGACGCTAGAACCACTAGGCTAAATTCCTGGCCCCCAAAACACATCTTCACCCATTCGTCTATTGACAGGCATTTGGGCTGTTTTCAAGATTTAGCTGTGACAAACTACTGCTATGACATGGGTGTGGATATATCACTATGGTAAGATGCTTTTAGTTTTTAGGGTTTTTTTTGTTTTTGGTTTGTTTGAGACAGGGTCTCACTATGTAGCCCAGGCTGGTCTCGAACTCTCCTGTCTCAGCCTCCAAACTCCTATCTCAGCCTCTGGAGTGCTGGGATTAAAGGTGTGCGCCACCACACCCAGCCCGGCTCGCTTTTAGTTCTTTTGGGAAGATACCAAAGGAGAATAGCTGGGTCAGATGGAACCTCTAGTTTTGGGGTTATTTTTTTGTTTTTTGTACCAGGGATCAAACTCGGGTTCTTGTGCTTTTGAGGCAGGCAGTGGAGCCACTGAACTAAATCCCTGGCCCTAGTTTTAGTTTTTTGAGAGGAATCTCTACACTGGTTTTCACCATGGTTGCACCAGTCTACACTCCCACCAGCAGTGGAGCAGGGTTCCTTTTCCCCACAGCCACTCCAACATTTGTTACTGATTTCTTTTTTTTTTTTTTTTTTTGGTACCGGGTATTGAACTTGGGTCCTTGAGCTTGTGAGGCAGGCATCAGAACCACTGAGCTAAATCCTGGACCCTTGTCATTGATTTCTTTTTGTTTGTTTTGAGACAGGGTCTCACTGTGTAGTTGAGACTGACCTGGAACTCAATATGTAGCCCAGGCTGGTCTCCAACTCACAGCGATCCTCCTGCCTCAGCCTCCAGAGTGCTGGGATTACAGGTGTGCGCCACCACACCTGGCTGAACCTTTCTTAAATGCCTTCACAATTGATTTCTTGCTAGCCATTCTTGAGTGAGACAGAATCTCAGCCTTGTCTTTAATTTGCATTTCACAAATGGCAGTGATGGTGAACATTTTTTTCATACATTTGCTGTTTCTACGTCATCTGAGACGTGTCTATTTATTTCAGATGCTCATTTTTGGATAGCAATCTACTTTTACTGTTATTTCTTTTTTTTCTTACTTTTTTTTGGGGGGGTACCAGGGATCAAACTTGGTGTAAGACCTGCTGGCCTTACCAGCCATTCCGAGGAAGTAAACATTAAGGTCAAAGACCTTAACCAACCACTCTGAAGAGCTAAACAGCCGTGAGAATCACCCAGGAAGGAACACACTGGACTAGTTGGAAATCAAACCTTTATTAGTCTGGCCAGACAGCACTCCCAGAGCCAAGCCGCTCAGAGAGGCAACTGCTCAGGGGCTGAGGTTGTTTTATAGGATTTTTCTAAACAAAAAAGTTCAAACATAGGTCAGGGCTTTCTCACAACTGCAAGGGAGAGAAGCTCCAGATACCTTTACTTAGTGTTTTATGTTCACCTTCAACATCCCATCTGTTCCCAGGCAGGCTTATTAATCAAGTTAGCCCTTAGCGCAAGGTTTTTGTAGTTGAAGCAGTTTTCCCTGTTTGGTAAGGAGAGGGGAAGCAGTCTCTGGCCTGTTACCAGGACAGCATGGAGCCACTTTAGTCAGGTCTCACGTTGGGACCTTGGGCTTTCAAGGGAGGCGGCGGCACCACTGAGCTAAATCCCTGGCCCTGTGATTTCTTTCTTTGGGTGGTATGATAGCTTAAAAAAATATTTCCAGTTTCTCTTTGCAACACGTTATTTTGATAATGGTAAAAGCAAATCTTTGTGGAGAGTTTTACATTTCTTTTACAGGTTACTTTTCTCCTAGTTATCTTGCCTGGAGGACTCAGGACCCTGGAGGCATCGTCTGCAATGGGTTGCTGCGGAGCAGCCAGCAGTGAGCCCAGCACGGTATCCTGGTCTTGTCCAGTCAGCTGTGGGTGGAGCTGAGTGCACAGGTGGCCTGGCAGGGACTGGCCCGGGTACTTGGCTGCCAGAGACCCCTGTAGTCAGGTTCCAGTACCCACCTGCGCAGTGTGAGGTGCAGGCCTGAGAAAAAGGATACACTAAGAGACAGAACTAGGGGAGAAAGCAGAGTGACCAATGCCAGTGCAACTGACAAAGGCGCTGGCCAGTCCCAGGCACTGATTTTTATTGGCTATCAGTTGGGGTAAAGGTGATGTGTGGTTTCTATGGAAATTAATGTAAATAGGCCTCAGAAAGGACAAGACAAAGCATTCTCAAGTTAGGAAGAGTGAACGTGTTATATGGTTGTGATCAGAATTTTGTCCTTCCAGTCTGAAGGTTTTAGCTGTGGGAATGGAATTTGGGTGTTAATCTGACCTCAGCACGTAGGCTTCTGCCACACACACTTCTAGAAACAGCCAGGTGTGGGGTTCAGTCTTCACAGCCTGCGTTGAGCATCATCACATTAGTCCTCTGTACTTGGCTTGTTACTTCTCATCTGCTTTCCACACACCAGGACCACAGGAAGTGGGAAAGAGGATGAGGTAACGCTGCCTGGTTGGGCGTGGGGGGCACAGGGGTCTGGTGGTGGGGTGGACAGCTGGACGGATGTGCTGCAGAGATGGCACCACCCATGGAGGACCCCAGAACTCATCTGTCCTAGTTGGGTGCAAAGCAGGAGGCAGGAGAGGCCAGGCAGTCACCCTGGTGACATTATTTTGGGGGCGGTACCGGGGACCAAACTGGGGTCCTTGCATTTGCAACGCAGGCACCAGAACCACTGAGTTAAAGCCCCTGCCCGTGACACTAATTTTGAACGAAGTATCACAAAAGATTTTCCCTCAGGTTTCCTGAACCAACTTTTTCTAAAATGTAAATTTTTAAGGAGTTGATTGCCTAAGTGTGTTTATTAATGTGCATGGGAACATTTAATTAACAAAGAATAAACTGCACACTGACTTAGCTGCTTCTCTAGCCCTTAGGTGTCTCACATCCATCTGCCTTGGGGAGAAAAGGGGAAGGTGACTCAGGGTCGAGATGACAGGCATTGGAGCTGCCTGGGAATGTGCACCTGACATCGGTGTGGTGCTCGTGCTTGGTGGCTGCCGCAGTCACCCAGCATCACAGAACTAAGTCCCATTCAATTCACAGTGTCTCTACACCCGCTAATTCCTGCCAGGCACAGCCTTTAGGCAGTGTGTGCTCAAGAGCAGCTCAAGAGTAACTGAAGTGGTGCAGCAGCTCTCTGAGGTCACTCTGAGGAGTCCCAGCCCCTAGGCCATGTCTGAGTTTTCCTTCCCTCTGCTGCAGGGAGCTAAGGACCTAAGAAAATGTGTGCTCTGAACAGTGCTGCTGGAGACAAAAGTCAGCTTCAAGGTGTGATTTTTTTTTTTTTAAGCAAAATCGGGGGGAAACACAGCTCAGTAGCAGAGCCACCCCACCACCTATTAACCATTCTCTAAACCTGATCTCTGTGCACAAATAAACTTTAAAACAACCAACGTGATACTAAGTCAGTCTGACTTCTGGAGTATCATAAAAATTAATGTAGTACTCACTGCCTGAGAAATTAAGTCTTAACGCTGGGTTTACAAAAAACAAATATTCTATATCTCCCATCTTTTCACCATTTTATTCTGAGTACCAGAAAATGTGAAGGTTTCAGGAGTGCCGCTGTCTCCAGAAGAAAGGTAACGCAGCAGCAGAAACATGGCTCTGGAAGCTGAGGGGCAGTGACCCGACCTTAGAGAACACAGATGTTGACACAAGTCATCAAGGGGCCAGTGGTGTTTGTACTAATAAACCAGCACTGCAGGTTAAAAATATGATGCTATTCAAATTGACTTTTATTTATTAATAGCACTCTGACATATACTTAACTGCTCTCAAGTAGTATATAGACACAAAAATTATAAAAATAAACCATAGATATTTAAGAGCAAATGCAAAAATCTGCACATTAGGTCACAAAAGTTTTATATATTTTTTATAGTATAACAGCTGTATATAAGACAAGAAAGCAAGGTGCAAACCAGCAAGTACCATGTTACCACTGTTTCTAAACAGAGACAGAGGGAGACACCTTTCATATGTGCAGAGTCCAGTGAGGGTGAACCTTCCAATGGTAACACGGCTGTGGCGCTCGTGCCATGGGTTCGCCACCACTGGCTGGAGACATCAACAGAAGAACACGGAAGTGGCTGCTGGGGTCAGGAAAGGGAAGCACATTCACTCGTTAAATATACTCTACTACTGGCAAAAACTCTAAAAAATCAGTTCATGTACAAATGACATTTTCAGTAGTTATATTTAAGACTGAAACCTTAATAAATGGATTTAACAAAATCAATTATGTATCAAGAAAATTAAAAAAAGTCACAAGCATTTTTAGAAATATTTTCATGGAAGTTTACAAGATAGGTGAATGAGAAAGCTATGCAGCACAGATGTTCTGTGTCATACTTGAACGAAGCATTTCATTTCCACGTGTGAAGTGTTTCAAGGAATATGTGAAGACCAGAAGCTCACGGCAGTGGCCACACATAGCTCAGCTTTCTTTCCTAAGCAAACAGGCCACGTAAATAATCAGAGGCTGAGGCCAGTGCTTCAAAGTGGAAGAAAGATCCTATATGGGTTCATGTCTGCTGGACAGGGAAGGCAGAGTTTCCAGCCAGCTGTTAGTAATACGCTATTCGCCTGCATATTATTCAAGAAAATAAAAATGTCAATGTACGAGAATAAAGTGTTTCATTTTCTGTCGTTCCGAAAACAAGCACTAAAATGTCATTCGGGATTGTTTCTCTCGCCTGGCTTCCTGTCTGCACCTGAAGGTCAAGATCACCACACAGGTGACTGTATTCCCGGGCTGGGCAGGCATCCCGTGCACTCTGCGCCCTCCTTCCAGCTGTGTCCCCTTCAGACCAAGTCCAAAGGGGGAAAGCTGGGTCCCCTCCACTGACACCTGTCCTAAACCACGTCAGAACAGCCCACACCCAACACACACACGGGACACCATCTGTTCACACTCTGGGACAAGCACACTGCAGACAACCAGCTTGGGGAGTATGAAAGGCCCTCTTCAAAATATCAGGACTAATATCTCTAGTATAAAAGGATTCACAGACATCCATTCCCAACTGTTCCTGAGCATACTTCATCCGGCAGGAAGTCCCAGCGGTCACCAAGGAAGAAGGCACGTTCACTCAGCACCGCGGAGCCCAGCCCCACGGATACGGCTACCCCAGGCGGCCCAGGCGGGTCCTGCACCCTGGGGAGGAATCAAGTGTGGGTGTCGACGCTATGCTTCAGAGAGGAAGCTGGGGCAGATGATGCCCATAGAAGCCTCAAGGGCAGAGGACAGCTTCAAGCCTCTTCCTCTTCCTCCTTCTCCAAGAAATCAGTCAGCGTTCCACTATCAATAGGAATTAGTAAATACTCCACTCCATCGGTTCCCTAAAAGGTACAAGAACACCCATATGTCAGTGCTTTGTAAAAGCTACTCGAACTTCTACTGTGGGTTCAACCAAAAGTATATTTGATTTCTCTCATGAAATATTTTAAATAAATACGTAAGTAAAAATGCACACTGGGCACAGTGGCACACCTGTAATCTAGTACTCAGGAGTCTAAAGCAGGACTGCTGAAAGCTTAAGGCCAGTCTGGGCTACACAGTTCAAAGCCAGCATGAACTACATCTGTCTCAAAAAACTCCCATGGGAAAGAAAAAGGCACAGCTAGGTGTGGAACATGACTACAATCCCAACTACTCAGGAGGCTGAGGCAAGAGGATTAAATGAGGCCAATTTAAAACCAATTTCTGAGACCCTGTCTCAAAAACATACAAAGGTGCGCTGGGGATGTAGCTCAGTGCCACCTTATTTGCCTTGCAAGCGCAAGGTCATGGGTTCAATCCCGGTACCACCCCCACCCCCCGTTAAAAAAGAAAAATATACAAAGGATCTGGGCGAGGCGGTGCATGCCTGCAACCTAGCACTCAGGAGGCTGTGGGAGGATCGCCTTGAGTTCAAGGCCAGCCTGGGGTACACTGAGACCCCATCTCATAACACAGCACAATACCAAAGGCGAGAGCACCTGGTGAGCATTTCCTGGTTTGCACACCCAGGGACCCCCCTTCCTTCCTGAACCAGACTCTACTTCCCCTTTCCACAGCCCCCGCAACTGTCGCAGTGTGGTGGGCGTCTTCGCCTTCCCGGCCTCTCTGCACACCGACACTGCAGACCATCAGCCCCACCCGGCACTTGCTGAATTTGGAACAGGACACGTGGTGGTGAGGCAAGCTTGCTCTTGTCGTGGTCCATCAGTGACGTGCTGCCCTCTCCATCTTGGGTTCCATACACTTGGCCTCCCTGGTGACCTCTGCTGGCTGCTCCTCCGAGGCACAGACGTCGCTCAAGGCCTCATTCCTGGTCCTCTGCTCTCAGTCACAGCTTGGGCCAGCAGGCCTCAAACTCCTGTGTCCCTGGCTTGGATTTCCTGGGTGCCCTGGCCAGTGACACCTTCCCTGGTGACCTCAGCTGGCTCATACCCTGCCTCCAGCTCCTCACCCAGGGACCAAAGCTCTGCTCCACAGCTCTAGACCCACAGTCCTTGACACCAGCTCCCCGTGCCTCTGTCTCCCTCCAGCCTCCACTGGCTCTCGGCCACAGCTCAGTCCCAGGAGCACTCACTCCGTCAGTGCGGGCCCTGGGTCCTGTCCCTGTGCCACTCCGTGGGTACCACGTTTTATAAAGACTTCATTATTTCTAAGATCGAAACCACTTCCTTGGCCTAGAGACATACATGGGCAGCCCTTACCCCAGGCCCTCTTCAACCTCCTTATGCCACACAGCACACCTTCTGTTCCCAGTGTCCAGCTGTGCTTTTCCTAGCATGGAGCACTCTTGTCCTCCTCTCCCCTGCTTCTTCATGGTTCTAGGAATTGAACCAGGGCCTCACCCATGCAAGGCAAGCACTGTGTCACTCGGCTGGACCCCCAACCCCTTTAAAAAAATGTTTATTTTAGCCGGGTGTGGTGGCGCACTCCTGTAATCTCAGCACTCGGGAGGCTGAGGCAGGAGGACCGCTGGGAGTTGAGACCAGCCTGGGCTACATAGTGAGTTCCAGGTCAGTCTCAACTACATAGTGAGACCCTGTCTCAAACAACCAAAAAACCCCCCCAAAAAACAAAAACAAAAACAAATGTTTATTTTGAGATACAGACGGATCTTGCTTCCCTTGCCTCCTTAGCAGCTGAGACTGTAAGCCTGTGGCTGTGCCTGCCACCTCCCGAGGAGAGAGAGATCTATCCAGCAGATCTCAGCACAGCAGTCTCTTTCATACACAGTCTGAGGTCAAATTTACCTGCTCTAGGGCTGGGAATTTAGCTCAGCCACACCAGCCTTGCAAGCACAAGGTTCTGAGTTCCAACCCTGGTACCGGGGAAAAAAGAAAAAAAAAAGAACCCAAAAAACGAAAACAAAAATAAATAACAAATTCACCTACTTTAACATGCTTGTTTTTGCCCCCCTGAGACAGGGTCTTGTTATGTAGCCCAGGCTGGTCACAAACTTGGGGCCATTCTCCAGTGCTGGGCTTTTAGGCATGCACCACCACACCCAGCCTGTCATTCAATACAGGTAAAAAAAATTGTTTTTGGTACCAGGGATGAACTCTGGTCCTTGTGCTTGTGAGGCACGCGGCGGAACCACTGAGCTAAATCCCTGGCCAGGTAAAGGTTTTTTTCTTGGTACCAAGGATCAAACTCAGGACCTTGCCCTTGCCAGGCAGGCACTGGGCCACTGAGCTACATCCTGGCCCCTAACACAGGTAGTTTTACACACGTGTGGCTACCTGACGAATACCCCCTACTCACTAGGCTTCAAGTTCAAGAGCAAAGCAACTGCAGCACCATTTGCTTGCGACTGTGCCCTGCCACTTCAGGCACATGTGCCACCCAGCCAGCACCTCATACACCCTGACTGCAGCCACAAGCAGGTGGAGGGTGGAGTGCGGGAACGGGGCTGTTTGGCTCCTACTGTGTTCCTAGCGTCTGCCTGCTTGGGCCTGGAGCTCATGAAGAGGACCCTGCCTTCTTCCTGTGTGTTTTCGCTACCAATCCAGTGGTGTAGCACAGTGACCAGCAAATCTCATGAGCCTCACTTCACATGCAGGGCTCAGCTGGCGGGATTCTTGTCCTTCCATAAAGGACACGCATGGCTTCCAGCGGGCGGGAGAGGCTGCACGAGCGGCCTTACCTTCTTTGTTTTTATAAGCTTGTGATCCCTAAACTCCGTCAGCTGGGCGCGGAGTGTCAGGTCACTGTTGACAAGGAAGGCCTCCCGACACTGCTGGTAGAAGTCTTGAAAGGACAGCCCTGGGGAAGTCAAGAGGACAAAGGTCTCAGCAGCACTGCAGGTCAGAGCCCCACTGCAGGAGGTGGGGTAAGCACAGTGGGCAAGTGCACACAGATGAGCAAACAGAGCTAGGTAACGAGGCAGTCAAACAGCCGACTGCTGGGCATGATCAGTGTGACTGAGGGGGACATTTTTTAACAGCTCGGGCAAAGCTGACTTTCTTTTTTTTTTGATTTTTGGTATAGGGGATCGAACTCGGGAACCACTGAGCTAAATCCCCGGCCCATAAAGCTGACTTTCAAAAAGACCACTAAGCTGGGTGTGGTGGTGCACACCTGTCATCCCAGAACTCGGGAGGCTGAGTCAGAAGGATTGCTGAGAGTTTGAGGGCAGCCTGTGCTACTTAGTGAGTTCAAAGCCTGCCTGAATTACACAGACCTCATTGCAAAAAAACAAATACAGAGAGAGAAAGAAGTCACGAGCTGAACAATCACTACAACTTATTTTTCACTAAAATATTATTTTTGCCCAAAAGGAAGAAAATCTCCTAGTGCTCGCTTTGGCAGCACATATACTAAAATTGGAAGAAATCTCCTAAAATGCCCACATATGAAAAGCAGGGCGCAGGCAGACACGGAGCCACAGCCCCATCTGGGGATGTCACAGTTGGCCAGCTACCTCCAGCAGGCAGCCGCTGGAACCAGCAGGGCTAAACAGCCTCGTTCCCTTCTCCACGCCTGACCTGCGCAGTCTCCCGCAGTATTTAACTGTGCAGTAGACGTGCACCAGGACAGTGACAGGTGCAACTGCACGGGGGACGGACACACGGACACACACACACACACACACACACACAGCAGGGATGGGGGAGTCACACACGTCATGTCAGATACCCATGTAGGAAGGGTCTTCCTGCTTGTCCAGCTGATACTTCGTCAGCAGTCTGAAAATTCCCCTGAGGAAAAAACGAAATAGGAATTCAGAGCCAGAACCCATGCGGGTGAAGCAGGGACGTGCCAGAGCCTCTTTCCCCACTCTTCCTCCAGGACACAGGGGCCTTTAGCTAGGAGTATTTTTAACATTTTTTTCAGATTTTAGTAGCCCAGGTTTCAGGATGTGATGACCACATTCGTTGTGGGAGTTGGTACATATTTTAATTCTTTTTACTTCCCCGTATTTTGGGGTTTTTTTCTCACTGGATTATTTCTCCTTGTAGAAAATTTGGAATGCACAGTAACACCCAAAGGGGCAAATATCAAGGGCGGGGAATTAGCTCAGTGGTGCTGCTGCCTGCCTCACAAGTGAAAGGTCCCGAGTTTGATCCCCAGTACCAAGAAAAAAACAAAACAAACAAATGGACAACTATCAACCCTATAACCCTAAAATAACATCAGGTGTTGCTGTCATAGTACACGAGGGGTGGCTGAAATGTAAAAACTCAAAACACTCATGTATACAATCTGCACACTTTTAACATCTCTTTCCCCTAGCACTGAGGACTGAACCCAGGGGCTTTGCATCAAGCTGCTTCTTCAGCCCTTTTTTAAGACAGGGTCTCACTAAGTCGCTCAACTACCCAAGCTGGGCTTGAACTTGTGATCCTTCTGCCTCAGCCTTCCAGAGCACTGAGATTTCAAGTGTGTGCCACCATCCAGCTGTGTACACTGTTTGTTTGTTTGTTTGTTTTGAGACAGGGTCTCACTAGACTGACCTGCAACTCACTGTGTAGCCCAGGCTGGTCTTCAACTCACAGCAATCCTCCTGCCTCAACCTCCTGAGTGCTAGGATTATAGGCGTGCGTCACCATGCCAGGCTGTACCTTCTTAATTATTTATTTTTTTCCTACATCTTTTTTGTTTTTTGGTAGCGGAGATCAAATTCATGACCTTGCACTTGCAAGGGAGGCACAAGGCCACTGAGCTAAACCCCAGCCTTTCCTGTATCTTTTTAAGATGCTCCTAAAAAAATTTTAAAAACTGCTTATCACGTACCACAAACTAACCATTTCCCTATTTGGTTTGAATTATATAATTTTTCTCTTTTAGATAATTAAAAATACTTGCATTAAGTAAAAAGACTTTTTATATTGCGGAGTACTTCTGTGGGAGAGTGAACCAAGTGGAATTCGGAGTTGGAAGGGATACTGCACAACTGGGGTTCCTCACTGAACCAAAATCACTCAGCCCATACTTTGGATCTCCTCTATGACCACTTTGTGGTTTTTTTTGTTTTTGGTACTGGGGATCAAACTTGGGACCTTGCGTTTGTGAGGCAGGTGGTGGAACCACTGAGTTAAATCCCTGGCCCTGTGAATGACCACTCTGTAACTAAGTACAGCTGAATTTTTGTGAAGATTCTTGGTCCATCACATTTATACCAAGTAAAACTAGACTGCACTAACTGCAGAACGAACCACAATTTCAAAATAAATTTTTAAAAAAGCGTTAGAAGGTGACACTCAGATACTTAGGTATACCAAAATAAAAACTATTAGTGTCTAATGTCTAGCATTCTTATCCTGCATGGACCCCAATTTTACATTAACTTACAATCGTCCTTTACCAGTAAGTGCAAGGCAAAATGGAGGGAAGACTTTTCCTCATTTCATCAAAACACCCGATGACAGCTCTTTGGGAATGCAGCTAAGCACAGAGCACTTGGTTTGGCATGGGCAAGGCCTTGGGTTTGATCCCCAGCACCCCCAAAAGAAAACAAACAAAAAACACACACAAAAAAAACCAGAAAAAGAAATAACCATGTAATGCACATTTCAGTATTATTGATAGTATTTCAATGCTAATCTTATCTTCAGTGTACAAATTAATACATATTTTTTTGTTTTTGTTTCTATTTTTTGGTACTGGGGATCAAACTCAGGCCCTTGCACTCATGAGGCAGGTGGCGGAACCACTGAGCCAAATCTCTGGCCTGATAATAATTTTTTTACAGTGCTGGGGATAAATCTAGAACTCATACACCACAGGCAAGTGCTCTACCACTGAGCTAAATCACCAGCCCAAGTCAGTTTATAGGCCAAACAATAATTTACTGAAATTAGCATTTGAGGGGTCACATGAGCCATACACACACAAACCAGTTGCAGTGAAATCCAAATAAACTCTCTGGCAGAGTAATGTCAATGGCCCCCGGGCTCTGACATCGGGCTGTGCCTCCAACAGACTGAGATGTCTGTACTTCTGATCCAGTGCCAAACCTAGGGACCTACGCATGCGAGGCAAGTGCTCTATAACTAAGCTACTTCCCCAGGCCCTGGATGTATGTTTCTGCTTCTGTTGTTTTATATTTATCCTAATCAGTGTTTCTGGAAAAGGGGAAGGATTTGAGCATGAAAATACTATGCCATCTTGACCAGAAGTGTCTGCCCAATGTGCTTTTTAAGAAACAGTCTTGGCTGGGGATGGTGGAGCACGCCTGTAATCCCAGCACTCGGGAGGCTGAAGCAGGAGGATCGCCGTGAGTTCGAGACCAACCTGGGCTACATAGTGAGTTCCAGGTCAGTCTCAACTACATAGTAAGACCCCCGTCTCAAAAAAAAGGGAGTCTTTAGGACCAGGTATTTAGCTCAGTGGTACCGCCACCTGCCTCGCAAGCACAAGGACCCGAGTTCGATCCCTGGTATCAAAAAAAAGAAACAATCTTTGGCCCAAGATTGATTATGTAAAGTTACAAATTTCCATCAGTGAATGTCATTATATCGTATACTTAAATTTACCAATACAATAAATAAATAAGTAAATAAAAAAGTCTTTGGGGTTGGGGATTTAGCTCAGTGATGCCATCCCCTGCTTGAGAAGCTCAAGGTCCTGAGTTTGATCCCGGGTACCAAAAAAACAAAACCCAGTCTTGGCTAGCATGGTGGCGCACACCTGTAATCACAGACTTGGGAGGCTGAGGCAGGACTACTAGCACAAGTGTGAGGCCAGCCTGGGCTACCAATGAGTTCAAGGCCAGCCTGAGCTACACAGGGAGATCCTGACCCAAAAAGAACAGTCTCTGCTATTATAACTCAAGAAAGTCCCACCTGCCACTTGCTTAGTTTATCTTAGATTATTGCTTAGTGAATCTTCAAATATGAAACAGACAATTTTTAATGTTTTATTTATTTTATCTACTTACGGCATAGGAGACAGAACCCAGGGCCTTGTGCCTGCCACTACTACTGAGCTGCACCCCAGCCCTCAGTGTACAGTTGTCAGGAAGAAATGTTTCCCTTCTCACCTTGCATTAGGGGTAAGGCTGCGCAGGACGTGCGTCAGGGCGCTCAGTGGGAGTGCACCGGACTGCTTGACCAGCAGGGAGTTCTCGTAGGACGTCTCCTCGGTGTAGGGTCTGTATGTGGTGGTCTCATACCACAGCCAGTTGTACAGGCTCTGCTTTGCGTGATCCCACACTGGCATGATCAGAGAACACAATTACAAAACATATTCATATTGTTACCTTACTGGATTCCATTCCAGAAAAGCATTAAACAGAGAATCGTGGGCCAGGGATTTAACTCAGTGGTACTGCCAACTGCCTTGCAAATGAAAGGTTTTAAGCTCGATCCCTGGTACCAAAAAAACAAAATAAAGAGAATCCCAAAAATTTTCACCTTTAATCAATTCTTCACCCAAATCAGTTAACACACAATTTAATCTAGCAATCAACATCTGAATCTTTATTGGACATTAAATACAAATTAAGTTACCTTAGTACTATCCAGGCAAACTTTTAAAAATAAGCAAATCTAGGGGCCAGGGATTTGGCTCAGTGGTTCTACCACCTGCCTTGCAAGTGCAAGGTCCTGAGTTCAACCCCTGGTACCAAAACAAACAAACAAACAAACAAAAAAACAAACAAAAGTTAGCAATTCAAGATTTTGTTCTATAGGATCATCACAAAGTACATGAATCAAGTTTATAAAATAAATATGGCAATACCACAGAGAATAAACAGGCCAAATCAACAGCCACATGACTTCTTTTGTGACTTGAGGACTAAGACACCCCTCTTTAGTATGTGATATACATAATGATTACATTCATCATAGGGAATTTGTACCTGCACAGGATCTATCTTGCCTTTTTTTCCATCCCCCCTTTAGCCCCTGTTCCTATCCTTTTACATAAAGGCTTTGTTTCCATTTTGTCCTTCTACTTGCTCCTTTTTCTTGTTCCTTCCTCACTTTCTCCCTCACCCCGTTTCTGTTCTCCCCTTGATGTTTTGAACATTTTCTTCACATTTCCCAGTATCTATACATTGTAGTCTTTATTTCAATTTTCAGTTTCTCATACCAGAGAAATAATATGGTGTTTAAACATGTATGATTTGTGTGAACTTGTATTTTTAAGAATTTTGTTGCATACCAAATAGTTTCTTTGGTGTAAGAAACTAAAAGTATAAATAAAGAACCAAATGTTTAATTGATAATGTGAAATAGGAAGAAAAGGTCTAAGGGATACGGGAAGTGGGAGGAGTAGGGGAGATGAAAGAAGGGAAAGGAAAAAGTATGAGAAAAGGAAAAAATGGAAACAAAGTCTTTGTAAATAGGGAGGGGTGCACAGGTTGAAGGAAGGGCAGGGGAATGGGGAAAAAAATAAGGACCAAGATACATCATGTAGAAGCACCAGTTCCCAATGATGAATGTAACTGTATTGTATACTTAATACGCACCAATAAACTCAATGGAAAAAAAGAATTTTGTGGAGCTAGGCACTGTGGAGCATGTGCTTGAGCCTAGCTACTGGGGTAGCTAAGGCAGGAGTATTGTGAATCCTGGGCCAGCCTGGGCAACTAATTTAGTGACACCCTATCTCAAAATAAAATAAAAACAGAACGGCAGAGTGATGAAGGGAAGTGCTCCTTGGGTTCAATCTGCAGTTTTAAAAAAGAACCATATCAAACAGAGTATAAATATCTCTTAGGCAACTTGTGTGGGTTTTGTTTTTTGTTTTTCCATTGGTTGCACTGGGTATTAAGCCTCCTTTTTTTTTTGGTACTGAGGATCGAACTCAGGTCCCTGCGCTTGTGAGGCAGGCAACGGAACCACCTAGCTAAATCCCCGGCCCTGCACTGGGTATTAAATCTAGGTTTTTCCCTGCTGAGCTACATCCCCAGGCCTTTTGTAAAATCTTTAAAATTTTGCAATAGGGTCTAATTCAGTTGTTAGCTTGCCCAGGCTTGGGTCAAACTTAAGATCTTCCTGCCTCAGCTTTCCACAGTAAGACATTACAGGGATGTGCCCCTATACCCCTTGTTTTGTTGTTTTTCCTTTGATAATGGACCTCAATGAGTAGCTCAGACTGGCTTCACTCTCATTATGTAGCCCAGGCTAGCCCTGCACTGGGGATCCTCTGCCTCAGTCTACCTTGTGCTGGCGTTATTGGCATGCACCATGATATCCAGGTAACCTATGTCTTTAAACGTGGAATGGGGGAAAATACCAACGCACAATAAAAAACTTGTAAACTCATCTCCCAAGAAAGAAAGCAACAGTATTTAACTTACTGAGAGGAGCATTGAGGTGATCAATAGATGCCACCAAGTATATGTTACGCAAAGACGACAGCTGTCCAATAATCTGTTGGCTCTTGTCTCCTCTCAACATCTGACTGTCCAAGTTGTGGATAAGAAGGAAAAGTTCTAAAGCAGAATCTGAAAGGAAAGGGAATCCAACTGTAATCTTTGTATTTGTGAAGTCTCTGCCACACACAAATACCTTCATAGTAAAGTATACGTTAAAGTAGTATAGGATACCAGCATTTGGGAGGCTGAGGCAGGAGGAGGCCAGCCTGGGCTACATAGTGAGTTTAAGGCCAGCTTGAACTACATAGCAAGACCATGGCTAGATAAACAAACAGCTGGGCTTGGTGGTGCATACCTGTAATCCCAGCACTTGGGAGGCTGAGGCAGGAGGATCGCTGTGAGTTTGAGGCCAGCCTGAACTACACAGCGAGACCCTGTCTCAAAAAACCAAACCAACCAACCAGCCAACATAATAGTGTAAGATAAATGACACTGTCAAGCTGGGCCTGGTCGCACACACCTATAACCAGTACTCTGGGAGGCTGAGACAGGACCACTGCAAGTTTAAGCCCAGCCTGGGCAACTAGGTGAGACTGTCTCTAAATAAAAAATAAATGAGGTAAGCTGGACATGTTGGTGCACACCTGGAAGCTGAGGCAGGAGAATCACTCCATGTTTGAGGCCAGCTTGGGCTTCATAGTGAGTTCAAGGGCATCCTGAACTACACAAGCAATACCACAGCCTGGCTTAAAAAAACAAAATAAATGAATGTATGAATGATGCAGCTCAGTGCAAAGGCCCTGGGCTCAATCCCCAGAACCTAAGATATTATGATTTAGCACTTAACTCAGGCCCTATTGAAGCTTTTCGGAGGTGCTGGGGGTTATACGGCCAGGGCCCCATACACACAAGTCAAGGGCTCTACCACGGACAGCCCCCTCAGCAAGGCGTGTGTGCCAGATGGCAGGGAGTGTGCTGCACTGTGGAGCGGGAGCACCACGCACCAGGGCACCAAAAAGGGCTTTCACAAGGCAAGGAGACAGTACAGAAAGCCCTGGTCAGCACAGAAGCCAAGGGAGACAAAGAAGTGGGAAAGCTTCAGGGTGCCACACAAGCATCAGGGAGTAAAAGTCAGGGAAAGGTGTACGGGTGGAGCTGCCAATTCTATCAAATATATAAAAGATTGTGATAAAGAACAAATCAAGGCCATGGGCGAGGAAGAAAAAAATGACAGGTAACCAACAGCAAACAGTTCTGACAGCATACAAGAAATGGGTCAAAAGACAGCAGGTGGCACACACCTCTACTCCCAGTACTCAGGGAGGTTGAGGAAGGAGGCTCGCAAACTAGAGCTCAGCCTGGGCAACTCAGCAAGACCGAGAATCAAAGTGAAAGGGGAGGGCCAGGATTTAGCTCAGTGGTTCTGCCACTTGCCTTGCAAGCACAAGGTCCTGAGTTTGATCCTTGGTATAAAGGAGGGGGGGAGGAAGAAACAAAAGGAAGCTCTGAACACGTGTGCAAATGGAAGATAAGCTAGTGTGGCAGGGCAGGAGGCCCCATGAGTGTTGGCCGCACGTGTGCAGTGGACCTGGGGTGTCAGTGCGTCTCCAGCACAGCGGTGATGACGCAGACACTCAGCAGAGCTGAGGAGAGTGAGCTCCCCTTGTAGGAAGATGGGACAAGCAGGGCAGAAGAGATGGGGGATGGGGAGCAGCTCGGGCCGAGCACTGGTCCAGCGCCGCACACGGCCCTGGGCTGGATCCTTAGCATCACAAAAACAAAAAACATAACCAAAAACCCAGAGAGAACACAGTGATGGAGACGCTGACACGCTGCACTGTGAGGCTCGTCACCGGGCACCCCCATGTGTAAAGCACCTCAGCCGCTGCTCTCAGCGTCCCATAAACAACACTGGGACAAGGGCAGGGATGTAGCTCAGTGGCACCACACGTGCCTCACAAGCACAAGGTCCTGAGTTCAATCTCTGGTACCAGAAAACAACAACACTGGGCTGCCTGGCAAGGACCTGTAGTAAAGGGATAAACAAACAGTAATGCTTTCTGTTATTCTGTAAGTGGAAGAATTTATTGATATTAATGCTAAAATGATGTTAAAAACTAAAGAGGGTCCAGAAAACCTAAGTCAGAATTATTATAGGGGCAACGTTGCAGCAACTGATTTTTAATTATATAATAAAAGTGAAAGAACAGAAAACTAAACAGACTTTGTATCTGGATGTGGTGGTTCACGCTTGTAATGCCAATACTGAGGAAACTGAGGCAGGACGAGTGCTGTGAGTTCAAGGCTAGCCTGAACTACACAGCAAGACACTGTCTCAAAAAAACCTAGGATGGGCCAGATATTTAGCTCAGTGGTTCTGCTGCCTGCCTCAACAGTGCAAGGTCCCAAGTTTGACTCCCCGCCAAAAAAAACTGTAAAAACTCAGCTATATCTTATGAAATACCTGTAGTGATGACCTATACGGTTACAAAATCAATGAGTAAAGAACGTTCATATACACATGTAGGGCTGGGGATTTAGCTCAGTGGTTCTGCCGCCTGCCTCACAAGCACAAGGAACAGAGTTCGATCCCCGGTACCCAAAAAACCCAAACATATACACATGTAGTCCTGGGTTCCCATAAACTATACACATGATCTATGTCTTACAAAGTTGGTGAAAATGCTAGATTAATAAACCCTGAACCACTGCTCCTAAAGAAACACAGGGCTAGTTTTCCCGAGTTTCTGGTCGTATTTTCATCAACAAGCCAGCGTATTACGAGATGCACTTTATTTTTAACATTCTCCTGAGCTGTTAAGAATAAACTCAGTCCACAACCCTCAAACTCAGCCCTAAGGGCGCTTACCCAGCATAGGTCACTGGTCTCCATGAGGTTCTGGGACACAAGGTAGTACTTAGCACTAATACTGGGAACCATTTTAAAAGCCGAATCACCAGGGCCAGGGATTTAGCTCAGTGGCACTGTGCCTACATCGCAAGTGCAAGGTCCTAAGTTTGATACCTGGTATCAAAAAAAGAAATCCAAGACAAGAGAGACAAAAACGTGGAAACGCTGGCACCCACTCAACTGCCCAAAGGACGCAGCTCACAGAATGAGCGCTGACCATGGAGGCCAAGCAATGACCAGGCAGCTTGTGCACTGTGCGTGTGCACTGTGGCCGCAGACCATCAGGAGGCCCACAGGCTGCACACATGTGCAAATACACTTAGCACTCTGTATCGCGGGGTTCCACATCCACAGATCTGTACCAAACACGTGCACTTTTATTCATCACTAAATGAAGGTGAATTTCATTAACAGCTGTCTGCGTATTCACATCGTGTCAGGCATGGAGTACAGCACACAGGTAACATGGCTTTGTGGTGCTCTTTCAAGCGTGCAGAGTTGGTGTAAGAATGCCCATTATCCATGTCCACAAAGACAGTGGAAAAGTGGATTTAGAAGCTTGAGAATAAGAAATCTAGGGGCCGGGGATTTAGCTCAACGGTCCTGCTGCCTGCCTCACAAGCACAAGTACCTGAGTTCACACCCAGTATCAAAAAAAACAAAAAACCAAACAAACAAACAAACAAAAAGAAATCTAAGCTGGGCGTGGTGGCGCACGCCTGTAATCCCAGCACTCGGGAGGCTGAGGCAGGAAGACTGCTGTGAGTTCCAGACCAGCCTGGGCTACACAGTGAGTTCCAGGTCAGTCTTACTATGTAGTGAGACCCTGTCTCAAACAAAACAAAACAAAACAAAAAACAAAGAAATCTAGGAGCCAGGGATTTAGCTCAGTGGTACAGCTCCCACCTTGGCAAGTACAAGCACCCAAATTCGATCCTTGGTACCAAAAAAATGAAAATAAGAAATCTAGGGACTGGTTATTTAGCTCAGTAGCACAGTGCCTGCCTGGCAAGTGCAAGGCCCTGAGTTTGATCCCCGGTATCAAAATCTAGGAGCTGGGCATGTTGGTGCACACCTGCAATCTCAGCACTTGGGAGGCTGAGGCAGGAGGATTACCAGGAGTTTGAGGCCAGCCCGGGATACACAATGATTTCAAGTCCTAATTACACAGTAAGACCCTGTCTCCAAAGGAACCCCCTGTCAACCTGAGAGAGAAAAACAGAGGGAAGCAAACATATTATAAATATATTTATAATATATTTAGTAAGATAAATACAAGTGCTCTATAAATACAGCTAGTATTATTGTACCTCTATGCAATATTACCCATGATATCAAAGGAAAAAATGGAAACCATAAGGTGGGGGGCAAGATACATAATTACTGGTATGAATTTCCTACAACGAATATTATCATTATGTGTATCTAAAATGTACCAATAAATATTTTGCTAAAAATTAAATTACCTATAAAATCAGTATTATAAATTATTCCTTTTAATTCTCTAAAAAAATTTTTGAGGTTCTTTTAAGTACAAACAAAGATCCTGAATAATCTTATTTCCAAGTGTCAGATATGTTCATATAACCAAAATATCACACCAAAAGAATACCAAAGGGAGCCAGGCATAGTGGTGCGCACCTGTAATCCCAGCACTCCAGAGGCTGAGGCAGAAGGATCACTGTGAGTTCTAGACCAGCCTGGGATACATAGTGAGTTCCAGGTCAGTCTCAACTATGCAGTGAGACCCTGTCTCAAAAACAAAACAAAACAAAACAAAACAAAAACCCAAAATAAATTTAAAACAAAACAAAACAAAACCAAAGGGCTGAGGATTTAGCTTAGTGGCACTACATCTGCCTTGTAAGCCCAAGGTCCTGAGTTTGATCTCCGGAACCAAAAAAACCAAACCAAACAAAACAAAAACAAAAAGCAAAAAACCAGTCTTTTTTCCGTTCCACAGATCTTATTAGCGTACATGAAATTACCTCAATGCAGTAATACTTAGAATAAAGAAGAAAGACTCTGTGTGCATGTGTGCCTTGTGTGTGTTTTGGTGGTGCTGGGGATCAAACCTAGAGCCTTGTGCATACTTGGCAAGTATTCAACCACTGACTGGCAATCCGAGCAAGAAATAAGACTGTTTTATGAGCATTTTAAACAATATAAAAATGTATCAGTTAACTAAAGCACTTTACATTGATAAATCTACTTAAGAATAACAGGTTATACAAATTTAAGACAGTAAGAGAAACTTTTCCATTAAGTGAGATTCACAAAACAAGTCCATAAAAAATAAGGCTATTTCTTAAAAAAATTTTTTTTTTCTTTTTTACCTTTCTGGTACCAGGGATTGAATTTAGAACCTTGTACATATGAGGCAAGTGCAGTGCCACTGTGCTAAATCCCTGGCCCTTTCTTTCTTTCTTTCTTTTTTTAATGGCAGTAAAGTTTAGCGAAGAGTGAGGAATAAAGTGGCTCTGCAGAGTGAGCTTGGGCTGAGTAAAAGAGAAAGAAACAAGATGAAACTACACCCTGGAGGACACAGGGTGGGCTATGAAGAAAGCCATGACAGCCAAGGACAGACTTAGAGAAGTGTAAATGAGCACAGCACCAAGTGCCAATATCAAAACAACCCTCATTTCTGTTTGTGTAGATGTAAACATATTTAACCGACCCTAAGATCTCAGGTCAACTACTTTGTGTTACCTTCTTTAAATCTGTTTATGATCCAATCTAGCTGATCCAGAACACTTCGGAAAGTACCCATGTGATCAAGGACTTCTTCTGTTATAGAATTCAGGATCTGTACCACAAAAGCGCAAGAGGTACCACATCAATTACCCTTACTCTGACAGACAGGACAAATACAGCTAGCAAATCAATCCTTTTTATAGTTTAAAATTTGTTTCAGACTTCTTATAAAATCTAAAAAATCACTTAAAAAATTCTAGTAGACATTTAAGTATCCACTAATTCTTCTGTGACAGGAAACAAGGAAGAACAAAGGTGTAAAGATAATATAAGCAACAAAAACCCCCAAATGTGAGAAAATGAAAGTATACATTTAAAAAGGGAAACAACGCAAACATTAAAGAAAATTGAAGAAAGAAACACTACATTGGTCAATATCCAGCATCAGCTTAAATTCTTAAATAATGAAGAAATAGAGCATATGAAGACGACCTATAATAAACATATTGTGAGCTATAAACCTTTGTGTTTTTTTATATTTTCAGAATACCAAAATGACCAAAACATTTAATAAAGTGGCAGACCCCCATAACCCTATCCTTCAGAATTCTATTATTTGGAAAACAAAGCTAACATTTCCCTAAAATGTAATACAAGTCAGGTGGTTACAAAGGAAGGCGTGCAGAGACAGAATCAAGTGTGGTCCCTCTAAGTTTGCTTCCAATCTAAGGAGTGTGAGTGCTGAGAGAGCCCTTGGAGCAGGAGGGTGGACACACTGCTGCCCTGCAAGGTTTCTGAAACTTACCGACTTCACGCCGATCCCAGGGAAGAAGCCATTGATGACAACATGGACAGAGTCCTGCAGCATGGTGGTTCGGAACCTTTCCAGTAAATCTCTCTTAGAACCCAAACCATAAAGCACAATATTGAAACCAAGGCTGTTGGGAAAGAGAGTATTCAGAAAATTAAACGTTGAAACTTACTGCTACTTTTGTTATCAACCAATTTCTTACTTCAAGCCTATGAAGAATACAGGAAGGTCAGATGCAGTGGTGCATACCTATAATCCTGCTTTTCTAGAGGCTGAGGTAGGCGAATTCCAAGTTCTAAACTAGCCTAATTGACTTTGCAAGACCCTATCTCAAAATAAAAAATAAGAAAGGCAGGAGATGTAGCTCAGTTCTAGCTCCTGGATTCAATGCCCAGTACCCAAAACACAGAAACAAAAAAACAAAAAACTGCTTTTCTGATTTCTTGGCCACCATGTCACCCGTGAAAAAGCTTGTGTCAAAGGGGAACAAAAAATAGAAGCAGGTCCTGAAGTTCACCCTTGACTGCACACATCCTGTAGAAAATGGAATCATGGATGCTGCCAATTTCGAGCAGTTTCTCCAGGAGAGAATCAAGGTGAACGGCAAAGCCAGGAATCTCGGTGGAGGGGTGGTCACCATCGAAAGGAGCAAGAGCAAGATCACTGTGACTTCTAGGATATCCTTTTCCAAAAGGTATTTGAAATATCTCACCAAAAAATACGTGAAGAAGAATAATCTCCATGACTGGTTGCACGTAGTTGCTAACAACAAAGAGAGTTACGAATTACGTTACTTCCAGATTAACCAGGATGAAGAGGAGGAGGAGGAAGATGAGGATTAAAACTGCTTTGTCTGGAATATATTTTATGAGTTCTTGAATAAAACTTGGGAACCAAAAAAAAAACCCTCCAAAAAAACAAAAAAAACAAACTGGTTTTCAGTAGGAAAGCAACATGATCTTTCTACTGTACTGCTAGGCTCCATCATGGGCCTGGCTGTTTGATCTCAAGCCAGGTCTGGCTAATCTGCTGGGGTGGCCTCAAGTCTGGGATCACAAATGAGCTCAAGCTGATTTCTGTTGAGTTTCCTAAAGGAACCCAAAGAAAAAGGTTCCAACATGCATTCAGACATGCACCCATTGTGGCTGAGTGAGGTTAGGAGGGACTGAAGCCATCACATACAACCAGCAAGGGAAGCCCAGAGAGAAGAGGGGACACCCAGGATGCCAGGCACCAGAGACCCCGTTAGAGCCTGCTCCTTGGTGGTGGGCAGGTGGCCTCCAGTGAGGCAGCACAGACAGGAACAGAGGAGTAGTAAGAGCGCCTGGGATGGAGGGACTAGCAAGGAGTAAATAGCAGCAGCAGCAGCAGTGGGGCATTCATACAGCCAGCAGTGCCACACAGGCAGGTCTGCTCAGGAAAAGTGGACAGCAGGGCCAGTGTCCCGGGAAAGGAAGACCTGTCACTGGGAGACATGGGAGTGAAGTTCTCGAGAAAGTGAGGTCCTGGCAGGGAAGATCACCTGCTTCTCAGCATAACCTCTGGGGGAGCCAGGACACACCACCATGTCGGGCAGCTGTGATCATGCTGTGCTTGGTGGACCTGCCTTAGTGACCCCATGACAATGACACCAGGAGTATGCAAGCACATTTACACATCAGCGTGTGTCTTCAGCATTTCCTTATATGCTTGGTTTGTTTTTTCGCTTTCATATGGCCTCACTGTGTAGCCCAGACTAGCCTTGAACTCCGTCCTCTTCCCTCAGCTTCCTGAGCCACCACGCTTAGCTAATGTCCTTCTAACACAAGTATGAAAGGAAGCCGGGCGTGGTGGCGCACGCCTGCAATCCCAGCACTCCGGAGGCTAAGGCAGGAGGATCACTGTGAATTCAAAATCAGCCTGGGCTACATAGTGAGTTCCAGATCAGTCTCAACTACATAGTGAGACCCTATCTCAAAAAAAAAAAAAAAAAAAAAAA